CATTAGCAGTAGTAGTAGTAGTAGTAGTAGTAGCAGCAGCAGCAGCAGTATGGAACAAACAAATCTACTTTTTCCATAGCTAACAAAGAGAGTAATGCTTCATGAGTCAAGAAATCACTCAACCAGTTTTTAAATGTCTCTTTTGCATTAGAAAGTACAAGAGATATAAATATAAGATACATATTCATATAAATTTGGCATCATAAAAGAATCTCAAATATACTGATAGAAAGTGTTTTACAGGAAGAAAAGATGAACTAAAAACTATTTTCACAGGAAAGGGACATGAACTGGAGGATTCAGAGCCAGAAAAGGCATTGAAAGCTGAGGGAAATAATTTGCTACTTGCTTTAATAAAAACAAATAATTCAGAACACCAAATATAAGACAATTTGAGTAAAACAATTTAGAGAAAGTTTCACACACTTAAATATAGAACTGGTACCCTTTAGGTTCATTCATAAACCCTCTCAACTTAGTCTTAAAATAAGCACTCTAGCAAGAGAAAGAAAAATTAAAAGAAGCTGTAAGCTGAAAATTTGGGGCACTAGATCTTAATATACTCTTTTGTCAAAGTTAACCATTTTCTATTCTCTGGACCTTTTTCTAGCATGGCCTTTTCCCCTAATATACTTTATACCTGTCATTCTACTTTAAGTTGGAAAAGTGATAAAAGTTCACTTTGAAAAGAAATTAATTTTAGTAATTTCCTGTCCACCAGAGGGCTCCAATATTTATTTCTCCCACAAATGGAAGAGATATAACATTACAATAAATTCATTAAGTACTGAAAAAATTCAAATGATCATTATCTCATTTAACCCCAGACTGAAATGTTTACATCTGCTACAATTTCTACATTAACAGTTCAAAAAGATACAGGGCTTTTTAAACTAATTTATCACCTAAAATGTTTCAAGTACCAAAATTGCTTTGCCGTTATTCTCACACTAATTGTCAATTTCTCTCAGGTAGAGTTTCAATTTTATAGATAATATCAAGTACAATTTTAAGTCCAAAGCTCTAAATAGTAACTCAAATGTTTTACATAATACTTTTATAAATACAATTTATTAATAATTCTCCTTATCCAGAAAATAAAAGTACTACCTATCTACCTAGCCTCAGGCCTTATTACTAACAAACAGAGTAAACATTCTCTTTCAGAAAACCTACAGTCATTAACATCATTCATGCTACAATTATAAACAATGAATATTGTCCCATCATGACCTATGATTTGGCTGAAAAAAATAAATTAAATAAAGGCAGTGAATCACTTATATACAATGTATTATAATATTCTGTTCAGATATTCTCAGATTTTTTTCACAAGTTATTATGCTGGAAGTAAATCTCAGTTCAAACTCAATCACTCTTAGCCAAAAAAAAAAAAAAGCCAATATTTTATGTAAATACATGCAAATTATTTATAGAACATATTTACAGAATTTTAATAGGAAGGGCATCAACTGGAAATTATTTTTTTAAAAGAGTACAGCAAATCCATTCCCTACGGGTGCTACTCCCCTTCCAAAAAATCAACTTGCTAAATTTGAATTATAAAAAGAGAATCCTTATGGTAAACACAAAAATTTACTGAATGTTTAAAAATAAAATTTATGAGTTATATTTACAAAACAAAAAAGATGCTAAAAATCTATGTTAAAGTGAATCACAATCATTGCCATAAGACTTTCCAAAAACATCCATTGATTTAGCAATTACTGTAGCTCAAGAATAAATTATCTCTAATGAAAACATGGCAGGGTTGTAACCTTACTGGACCACCTCATCTCCCAAATAGGATTTTCCTGTACAACTGACAAGCACCATTATCATGGAAAAGAGCGCAACATTTTTTCTAAGTAGCACATACTAGCTGTCAGCACTTAGAAATGTGAAAATTTTACTGCGCCTAGCAAAAATGTATGTATTCATACTTGCAAGAGCACATATCCTGATCAATTTAGAGTTATGCTGCAAGGAAAATGTCAGATTGTAGAAAGAGGTGGGGGTTGGAAGGCTGAGGCTTTTCACAGTGGTAAAATTGTTCTCACTTTAAGTCATGAATAAAAACACTGCCATTACTGCTATGAAGAGCTTAAAAATACAAAGCACTTAATCAACAACTTCTAACCAGTATTTACCATATTTCAAAAAGTCAAGAATTCTAGGAGCATATAAAATGAAGGTATTTCTTAAATCAAAATTCTAAGTAATAGCAAATAAAGGCTTAAAAGGCTTTAACATAGGAGGGAAATCTATGGACCTTCAACAAGTTCAACAGCTAGAAAACAAGACATAAAAAATACACAGAACAATCTCATCTGAGCTGTACCTTAGATACACTCTGAAACAGCATCAAGATATTATGTTTATTATATAATATTGCTGTGCCCTTGCATATCACCTTTAATCAAAGGATCTCAAAGCACCACAGAATCATTGAGGCCTTAAAATAAGGTCTAGAACAGAAATAATTACATTTTATAATTGCAGTTATTAATAAAAACCTTGCCACTATTTCTCAGTCCCGTGATCCAAACAAACATTAGCTTCCAAACCTTCCCTCTGACATAGAAACAATATTTCCCAAATCATTTCAATTTGTGATTGATGCTATACACATTTCAGCTTTTCTTCATCACTGGGACTAAAGAAAGTGATGGTACTGTTTTAATGACACAAATCTATTTCATTCTAACTCTCTGATACAATAGTGCACATATCTTGCAGGGTGCAGGATGATATAAAATGGTGGCCTTATGGAGATCAACTTTTTGCTGGAGGTGATGAACCCAAGCACCTACCAAAAAAGAAACAGCATTTCCCAGCTCAGTCTGGAGACCTCTCCAGGCAGCTTCTAGAGGGGGGTAAAGGACACCATGTCGTTACCTCCTTAAGTGGGTAGAAGACTATTCTTCTGTGTGCACACCAGGAGGAAAGAGAAAACCAAAAGGATAAAGTAATAGTTTTAAAACTCAGGAAGGAGAGTGTAAGGTTGCTGCATGGCCACCCAAAAGACAGAATGTTGTGGTTCCTTCACATTTAAATAGCACGTTAAATGGAAATCCAACATAAGCAAAATGTCTTTAAACCAAGGTCAAAATACACCACTTAGGGTCACAACTTTTTTAATTATTTTAAAATCTGTAACTGAAGTTTGCTCCTATAGAAACATCTGAGATTTTAAAATGTAATCAACAAAGTTCAATTTTACTTTTTGGCTGGAATACATGAACACTCAAATGGAATGTAACTATGTTAACAGCAATTCTTTTATAAACAAGATTATCCATCTTCTTGTTAACTGCATTATGTTTGTCCCTAGGACTGCAAAATGTAATGTCACACTCACACAAACCCACCTCCAGTACGGTAAGTCTACATGGCTAACTACTGTCGGTCAACAAACTCACAACCTTAACGTTTATAAACAAAAAGAAAAGCAACATCAAAGAATACTTTTTGTTTCGAGTTCTCAACAGTCAAGGATCAAGGCTCAATACTGTGTTTTATTAGCGTTTAAAAGTCCAAAGATGTGATAGGTACTACCAAACATTTGGTACTAAAAGTCCTATAATATTCATTGAAAGTCCCAATATACGGTGAGCCTAGACTTGTGAAAATCCCAAAACATCTTAATATTTGTCGCCATGCTTGTTCACCTACACACTTCAAAAAAGTCACTGCAAATTGTCGTGGACTTTTTCTTGAGGAGATAGATACACGACACTGTTCTCGCCCAGATCAAGTTTGCACCCAGTGCCTTCGGGAGCTCGTCAGTGCCACAGATTCCGTTTCCCTGCCAACCTCAGTGTCTGGTGGGGACGCCCGCCCTCAGCTCTGCCCACTGTCACCGACGTTTTCCAAAGCATTAGGATACAAGATACACTGTTCAGAGGCTTCTAGCAAAGGGATCTTCTCCCCTTAAAGCCACCTCGCCACATTTTCCCGACTTCTCCATTGCCTTGGGTGATTTGAAAAAACGCAACCAAGTGAGAAACCCCATCCTCAAAGCACTACTGGCTAAAAGGGGGAAACCAGAACCTCCAACTTCTCCAAATCTCCCAGCACGACGGCTTCTCAACAGGCCCCTGCAAACTCGCCCAGCCTCTGCATCCTTTCTGATGAAATAAGATTGGAAACCACAATTAAATCAAAGTGTGTCGTAACTTAGCCTTCACTCACCATATCCGCCGGGACATTACTGGACATCTTGCCACTTGATAATCAGCCAGACGTTCACGAAAAAAAAAAAAAAAAAAACAAAAACAAAAACAAAAACGAAAAAAACCCACACAACAAACAAAAAGGTGCAGAGGTCTTCAAGCCACAGAAATCAGCGTTAACGATCTCGATGAGTTCGTGATGTGCTTTCCAAAAACTAAGTGATGTGGGATCCAAGTCGCGGCCTGGCCGAGGTTGTGCGCGGAGGAGCGATCCCGGGAGCCGAGTGGCCGGAGCGCAGGGCACTCGGGAGGGAGCAGCCCGGTCGTCGTCGTCAGCAGTGGCCCCAGGACCGGCCGCGCCAGGTGGACGGAGCCGAGTGACACACGGGCATGGAGCGGTGGGAGGGGGTTAAATGCGCCTTCCTCCTTCGTGGGCCGGCAGTGATTCACACGCGCGCCCGAGTCCAGTCCTCATGAAGCAGCAAAATGCCCCGGCGGGAGGTACACAGATAACTATGCGGCTACACATGGA